GTTATGTTCTGCTCTCTAAAAGCAGTGATGCATTTTAGCTTTTAAACTGTATCGGCTCTGAGGACTAATTCCATGTATGAGTAGCAGTTCCTGTTTGTAGAAGGAAAAAGGACAAATAGTGCCCTAAGTAAACTGCTTTTGCTTACTGAGAACAGCCTGAGGTGAAGGATTACAGGTGAGTAGCTCTCTTTGGAAGACACTGCTAACAAAATATAGGTTAGTATAGGAAGTATTTATATATATAACAAAGTATAGGAAGGTATTGCCAGAGCTGTTTGTGTTAACCAGAAGCTTAGAGACCTGTGACTGATAGGCTGCAGGCAGCAAGAAAGACATTTAGCTGTGATTTCAGCTCATCATCACCTTAGGGCAGTGGGTGAGGGCAGAAATCAGGTTCTTTGGTTGTAAGTGCAGATTTCACCTCATTTGGATGTAGCTATAAATGCAGCTTCTTGGGAAACTGGTCTGATCAAGGTGTTTCCCAAGCAGGGAACTGCAGGTGGGTGCCTGGAATGCCCTTTGTTTTCCTGTATATTGAAGAAATGCCACTCACAAAATAGGTTAGCAGCTGAGCTTCTCCCATTTCCCGTGTCACTCCTGTGCTGAGGTAGCAGAGGGAATGCAGCATATGTATGTATGGTGGGGGTTTAGTTTAAAAGAGCACATTTTTTTTAGCTGAAACCAAGCATGGTTCCATACTAATTTATTAATGCTTTGCCCAACTCTTAAAATGTATTTTTGGGGGTAGAATTCACCTAAATACGGAGCAGAGCTCTCAGAATAGCAGATCCATGCTTTGGGATGAGCCCTTCAACACTGATTCCTCCCCTTGGCTATGAGAGGAGCACGACTGGCTCAGGCAGTGACATTTCTATGTGCACACAGAGGTGTGTGAGCTGAATCTCACTCTGTGATTTAACCAGCTGGGAATCTGGAGAGCTAAATCCTGCTTTTCCTGCCTGTGTTACCCCTCAGCACCTTCTGTGCCCTGTGTAACTCCCTCTTTTCCCACCTAGGCTGGCTGCATGTACGTTCATGGAGGGGTGGTCAACATCCATGAGAACAAACGAACTGGCTCTCTGTTTAAAATGTGGCTGGTGGTGCCCAGCCTGCTGGAACTGTCCTGGGAGAAGCTCCTGGAATACTTCCCTCACTTGGCAATCCTCTCCAGATCTCAGCTTTTGCACCTTGGACTGACACAGGGACTTGTTGAGCGACTAAAATAAGACCAGCTCATGCTTCCGTCCAAGACATACTACGTTCCAGAAGCCCCCTTCCCACCTCCCCTTATTTATGGATACCATGGATGGTCTTGCTAAGAACATGGAGGAACCTGCTCAGCGCCTTATTCAGCAACTACATCGATGCCTTCCTAGAGATTGTTACTTTCAGTTGTTGAAAAGCCACTTTTTATTTATGGATCTCTAAATTACACCATTAATCCAAAAAACTGTTCTCTGGTACTGTTTCATAACATCCAGCCATCAATCTGGTGTCAGCACATGCTTGCGACTAAACTGGGGAGGGTGGGAGCTTTGGGAATATCCAAGCCCATGCTTACATGTGGTGCACTTTTATTTCCACAGGCTGTATCTAACAGAGGATGCTCAGTGTAGAGCAACAGCCACCCTATTCTTTTGCTTTGGAGAACACTCATCCCCTGCCACCCAGCTGAACTCTCTAAACCCAAGAGCTCCTGCTTTTGAAGGCTTTGCATGTGTTCCATGGGCATGTTCCTATCTCTTGGAGCTTCAGAAGACGGCTGGAACATCGCATGGGGCAGCGAGTGAAGCTTTGCCTGTGCAGCTTTTCCAGTGCAGTGACTTGAACCACCCCCTGTCTGTGTGTTCCTCACCTATTCATGTGGAAATGTTTGCTTGGAAGACTGCTTAAAAGTTGCCACTTCCTGGACTATTGTGTAGTTTACTCAGGGTGCTGAGGGGAGGGAAAGGTTTGTGCTGAAGCTGTTTTAACTCTTGCTGCTCATCTTGCAACAGCAAAAACTCACCCTGGAGCTGTCAGAGCTCGCTTTTAACCTGCAGCACATCAGACCCAGTGCCTGGGTGTGAGCTTTGTGTTTTCCTTCCTCCCATATAGCACATGTTGGCCTTTTTCTACTTGGCTTCATGTTCCCCTGGGGTGGGGATGTTATTGCTGTGTGTGTTTTTAACCAAGGTTCCCAGGTGGCTTCCTGGAAGCTCATGTATTGCTTATCCCAGGAAACACAGCATCAAAAGAAGGGGAGAGGGAAGATCTCTCCCTCTTGCTGTAAGCAGTGGTCATGGCCACACAGGCAGGAGGCTGGCCCCTGTGTTGCTGTGCTCCATATACAGTGATGTTGGCTCTGGAGCCCACACTAATGGCTGTTGGAGCAGCTCCACCTGGCTGGCATCACATTCGTGCAAAGTCCTTTTCAGTTGAAGACCATTTTTAAGTGCCTTTTCTTTTAAATCAGCTTTTCTAAGTCCCTTCCCCTTCCTCCCATCAGAGACAAAGGGGTCACTTGGGGGTTTTGAAGAGATTACGTTTAAATAAACCATAGCATTGGCTTTGTGTTGTTATTTCAACAGCACTGCCTCATCCATCCCCGCTACCCCTCTTAGGGAGCACCCAACTGACCATTAGGGGTCAAGTTCTACTGATTTACCCCAGTATTAAGCTTTCCCTGTTCTTGGGGATAGTTTTCCCCCCATTATAGCCTTAGTTGCTGCTTTTTCCCCTCCAAATCCCAAGAAAACAAAGGTTGGGCATCCCCCTGAAGCATTCGCTGGTGCTCTGGACCACCCAAACTGGTGGCAGCGGCTTGCAGCTCTGGTTTATGTCCCCTTTGTTGTACATTTGCAGCTCAAAGGGCAGAGCTGGGAACTTCAGCTGTGCCACATGGCTTTGACAGGCCCCAGTCTGCATTTGGGCTAGTTTCTGGCTCAGAACCTGTGCTCCTGGAGAGTGTCATCACCCTATTGCAACCCCTTCCAAGCCGCCTGACTGTTCGCTGCAGCTCAGCAGTGAGCCCAGACCCTGCAGGCAGTTGGGGAATAGGGTACCTGCTCTCCTGCCCCTGGCTTGGGGTGTCATCTTCTGCAGGACCACATTGGGCCAGTGGGTCCTTTCTCCATCTTCTGACCTGAGCTCAGTGGTTCTCACTTCTTGCAGAGGCTGAATGTCTGCACTTCAGCTTTGCCTCCTGGCCTCCAGTTCTACCAGGACCCTTGTACTGCAACAACCTGATCATACATGTGCTGATTCTTCCCTTATCTTAAAGGGCATCTCCCATCAGCACCAAGGCGATATTAATCCATCCAAGCCTGGGTCTCTGAGCAAGTATGTCCTTGAGCTCTTGTGTCCTCCTCACTTTGGCAGGGCTATGGGGGCAGCAGAAGCTTTCCCCCAGATGTGAACACAGGGAAGGACACATCTGGCCTCAGCATGGCTCTATACTGACACCTGTAACACTGTCCCCTAATCTTACCTTCAAAGCCTAACATGGAATGTGTTTAGCCACCCAGAGAGGATGATACAACCCTTGACATCCCTCTGACACACCAAGTCACTGCTGGGTCACCCAAACACTCAAGGTGCTGGACCACTGCAAGTGCAAGCCCAGAGCCCATCTCTCCCATCCCAGTCACCTGTATGATGGGTACAAGACCTCAGAGGCTGCTCCTTCCTAAAACTGCCTTGTTTTAAGCACTGCAAAGCACCCAGCCCCCTTCTAAGGGTTTGAGTTCCTGCTGCTCCACTCTGTGTTGAGCTTTTGAATAGCTAAAGCTACTTCTCGCTCATGGTGGCAAAGGCTTTGCTCTGGGTGCAGCTTGAAGGATACATGGCTCCAGTGTTTCTTGCTCCATCTCCTGTTTGTCTTCACCTGCATCCCAGGTGATGCCCAAGTGCTAGTTTCTTTTAAAGGCAAGTTAATTCTCTCTGTGCAATTCCATGTGAAAGCAAACCAGCAGTTACTGCCTGTGCCAGGGCAGCGCCATGATTTCCCTAAGGGAGAGGACCAAGGATTCAGCATCTGCAGCAACTCATAGAGGGAGAGGAGTTCACATCCAGAAAGCTGCTGGGGATGGGACAGGACACACTAAGACAGAGAAATCCACCTTAGAACAGGGGTTTGCCTTCACCCACACCTTATCCCTGCTGCCAGCCCCAAGCAGAGCAGCTTGGGGTGATGTGGGCCCTCTTCAGGGCATCCTTGTAGCCAACCAGCAGGTAATGCTGAGCTGGGCCTGCTTCCATAGACACAAAGACTGGCTCTAAGAGACTCCCAAAGCATCCCTCAGCCCTGGGTAGATGTTTTCTGCTTGGCCTCAGCTGAGCTGTAGGAGAACCTGCTCAGTGCCATCATCTGCCCTCTCATTCCACACCTTTTCCATCTCATTGCTGTTGAGCCATCAGCCAAACTTTGGATACTCACCCAGGAACATTCCCAGCCATCTGGATTGTCCGTACTGACGCTCTACCACGAAAAGAGCTTGATAAAGCAGCACCATTGATTGCTATCAAGCTGCTGCCCACCTCTCTCTGGGCTGTTCCATGTCTAGTCCTGTCTCACCTTTGACTGTGGGATGTTTTGGAGTCCAGTGTTCACTGGAGGCACGGAGCAGTGGTCCCCTTCCTGGTTTTTATGCCAACATCAGGCTGGGGAGGGACAAGGGGCACAGGAAGCTCAGTGCCTGTGTTCAGGTATCGTCCCTGACCCTTCCCAGGAGCCTGTAAGAGGCCTCTGAGCAAGGATGACCCTGGACCAGGCTAGAAACAAGAGCTGGAGCCCAAAGCCACCCCACTGCTGGCCCTGTCCCCATGGCATCAGGGTGGATCTCCCTTGGGTGCTGCAAGGGGGGACATTGAGTGCTTCCTGCTCTGCTCCCAGAGATGCTGGCTCCAACTGAGCCGTCATTGCTGCCCAGTGCCCACTACATCATTGGTGCACCAAGTGGCCACCAACCCAAGACCATTCCTAACCTGGGTTGTAGGGACCTGGACAAGTGACCAAGGGCTCACATAAGAAGAAACAAACTTGTTCCTGATTTATACAAAACTGCTTTAGTGACAAAAGAGCTGAAAAACCACTTTTTGGTGCATTTCTAGTGCCACCAAAAGCCCCGTGTGGGCCTCAGACCCAAGTCCCTTCCAGGCCTCAGATCACCAACTGCATGGAAGGGCAAGAGGCTCTTCTCAGTCACCTTCTCCCAGTGCAACACATCCTAAGGGAGGGATCTGTCCTTGAGATCACATAAACCCCCTTCAAGACCCTCCACTAAGGAGCATTTTCCTTCCAACCACACCAGTGTGGGCTGGAAATACCCCTGTGAAGTGCTCCGACATCACAGTTGCTTCTTGGATCAGGAGTGCTTCCATTGCCACCACTCTTCCCATCATTGAAGCCCCATTGACACCCACAGCAGGGAGGGAGCCAAACAGCAGCAGGAGCTTCAGCAGATGATGCTTCCAGCCTGGAGCCAGCCCAGCCGAGTCCCTGAGACACTGGATCACACCTTGAGAGGCGCTGAACCCAATGAGAGGGTGGGAGAGAGCAGAGTCCAAACCTCAGCAACCACTGGGCGATGGGGCGAAGAAATACACAGCCAGGAGGATGAAGTAAACCATCACCAGCACTGTGCCTAGGGGAGACGGAGAAGGGTGAAGCAGTTACAACCTGGAGCAAGGAGGGAGGCTGCTTTCAAAACCTTCTGGTGAGGTCTGGATTAGCCCCACCGTAGAGGACTTCCATGGACCACTTTAAAGCCTCAATTAAAAGGGGTTTAAACTCTCTTTTAAGGATGGAAAGGGAGTGATCCCCCTCGGAGCTACTGCAGGGTGGCAGCTCCATCCCTGACCCAGCACCTCCAACATGGTCAACCAAGACCTCAGAATTGCTCAAGCCACCACAGGCCAAGAGCTGCAGTAACAAGGTGACCCTAGGGCCATATCCAGCACAAGGAACATGGTCACACCAAGTCCCACAGCAACCTCATGGGCGAGTGATCACCTTGGAAGTAGTCGCATTTGCCATCCATGAAGATGTAGTTCATGAGCACCACGCTGAACATGCTGGCATAGACATGGAGGTCGCTGAAGACAAGTGTGAAGTTGGTGGGCTGCAAAGCAGAGATTTGGGGTTTATGGTCTACCAGGACAGCCCTGCACTGACTGTGGCTGGGGCTTGAATGTCACCCCTTAGCCCCCCTGTGCCACATGTCCCTAGGGCTGGGAACAGCATCAGCCAAGGTAGGAGGCATCTGACCCCACTGCTCCCTGCAGTGAGGACGGTGGCTGCACCCTTGTCACGTCTCATGGAGACCTGTGTGTGCCCAAGCCCGCTGCAGGAGCTCACCCAGGGGCTACTCACATAGAAGATGGTGAAGAGCACCAGGATGGGGATCTGGAGCATGCAGACCTGGACAGCAATGCAGTTCCCAATCTCAATGCTGGAGAGGACAGAGGAATTAGGAGCTGCCAAGTGCCAGCTCCTCAGCAGTCCTTGGGTTGCTCAGGGTAAGAAACACCTAACTTAAGGAACCAAACCACGCAGTCCAACCTGGTTCTGGCCCCATTTTGGGGGTGATTTTCAGTCTTTTTTAGGGAAGTTGGCAGGATCTGACCCACCAGTGTCATGAAGCTGGGGAGCCCATCACTGGCACCAGGGCACAGCTATGGGACCAGAGGACATCCCAAACCCCATCCTTTGAGCCCCCTCACCTCAGGCTCAGGTTGTTCTGCAGAGCAAACTGGATGCCATTGACAATCTCTGGCAGCTCAGGCACCATTGCCAGCACCGTGACACCGATGAAGTACTGCAGGGGAGAGGCAACAGTCATGGGATGGTTTGGGTTGAAGGGGCCTTAAAGCTCATCCAGTTCCAACCCCTGCCACAGGCAGGGACACCTTCCACTAGAGCAGCTTGCTCCAAGCCCCTGTGTCCAACCTGGCCTTGAACACTGCCAGGGATGGGGCAGCCACAGCTTCTCTGGGCACCCTGTGCCAGCGCCTCAGCACCCTCACAGGGAAGAGCTTCTGCCTAAGAGCTCATCTCAGTCCACCCTCAGCACTCATCCTGACCACATCCCAACCCTGCACGACCAAGCTCCTTAGTGCATGGAGCATCTCAGCACCGTTTCCCTCCCTGCTTTTGGGGCTCAAACTGCACCCAGGACAGGATTCCAGCACATCCTAGTCCTCAGAACCACCCAACCCTGCCGCATCCCCATCCCCATCCTCACCTGCGAGATGGTGGAGTTGGTGAGGATGGGGCTGATGTGCTCTGTGGCCAGGTCAGCACAGGCCGACATGCAGAGGGTGGAGACCAGGAGGATGACCAGGGCCCGCCAGCGGGACCAGTGCACCACAGCGCTGTGGTGGTGGCCAGGCACTGGGAACAGAGCAGGAACATGGTGGGACACACCAGGACAGTGACAAAAGTCAGCCCCTGCAGCCAGGGCATCTCCAGCTTGGGGACACTCACTGTGACAGTCGCTGATGTGGATGTCGTAGATGTGAGAGTGAGTTTTCAGGGTGAAGAAGAGGCCGATGAGGTAGGCAGCGGGGAGCAGTAGGGACACGGTGTACACCAGGGGTCTGTGGGACACGGGCGACACACACTTAGTGCCACCAGTGTCCGGCATGGAGACCCCAAAGGGCTTCCCTTGGGACGGAGCAGGTGGGATGCTGGATCAGAGCCCTTCACTGGGGGCAAAGAGGGGACCTGGGATGGGTGCAGGACCACAGCCAAACCCAGGAGGTGCCACCCTAATGTGGGGACAATCATATCCCAATGGGCACTCACTGGACGTGGCTGTAGTAGAGGGTGCCGTTGTTATCCATCTGCAAAGACAAAGTGCCTGTCACTGGGGATGCAGGGGACAAGGGACAGCCCCGGTGCCACTGCCCAGCATGGTAGCAGGAGCTGGATGGGCTCAGAGCATCCCCAACCTCAACCCATTGTGTTTGGGGGCCCGTGTCCCCACTCACCAGGTCAAAGTGGCAGTTGTGGCACAGGTAGTGCCCCAGTGGGTTCTGGGTGACGTTGTGGCACTCCCCACAGACCAGCTTCCCATAGACCTTGGAGAAGAGCGTCGGGGCAAAGACACCTGTGGGGATGGAGGGACACGGGGTGAGCACCTGCAGTGGTGGGGCCTCCCCAGACCTGGGGACATCCCATCCCCAACTCACCTCCCACAGAGAGGAAGAGCAGGGCTGAGCTGACACCCGCTGAGCGGCTGTTGAACCGCTGCTCCTGGTGCCGGATGCCCCCGATCACCATGCACAGGCCCTTCGGGGTGGAAAAGCCCTCATCAGTGCCAGACCCCATCAGTGCTCTGCAGGGAGTTCCCTGCAGGGACCAGGGGCTGTTGTGCCCCCCCACACACACCCCGTCTCACCGGGACGAAGAGGACGCAGCCGACCAGCGTCCCCGTCAGCGCGGACTTGACGATCTCGGTGTAGCAGCGGTTGCCCTCGCGAGAGCCCTTGATGAGGGCAGTGATGTAGAAGGTGAGCTCCGTGATGGAGCCGAACGTGGCATTCACCACCGCTCCCACCGCGAAGGTGCTCTGGGCCGAGATGCTGGAGGAGGAGGAGAAAGATGGTGTCAGTGGGGCCAACAAGTGTCTCCCGTCACCAAAGGTTCCCCCCATCACCACTCACCTGGCGATGGCCATCCCAATGTAGTAGGAGAGAGGCATGATGGAGAGCAAGGCCAATGTGAACTTGACGGAGGAGCTGGTCAGGCGGTTGTGACTGTCCACGTAACCCAGCACCAGTGTGACCAGCACCAGTGGCAGCAGGTCTGGGATGGCTGGTCAAGGAGAATGAAGTGGGCTTTGGGGTCATCCTCTCCCTGCCCCCTGCAACACCCTTCCCTGCACCAAAAGGGGGGAATCCTGCCCCTCTCCTCTGCCCTCGTGAGACCCCACTTGCAGCACTGTGTGCAATTCTGGTGTCCTCAATGTAAGAAGGACATGGAGCTGCTGGAGAAAGTCTGGAGGAGGCCACAAGGATGCTCAGGGGCTGAAGCACCTCCTGTATGGAGACAGGCTGAGAACATCGGGGCTGTTGAGCCTGGAGAAGAGAAGCTGTGTGGAGACCTCAGAGTGGCTTTCAGTGTCTGAAGGGGGCTCCAAGGATGCTGGAGAGGGACTCTTCATCAGGCACTGGAGTGATAGGACAAGGGGTGAGGGGTTCAAACTGAAACAGGAGAGATAAGGTAGAAGCTCTTCCCTGTGAGGGTGCTGAGGCGCTGGCACAGGGTGCCCAGAGAAGCTGTGGCTGCCCCATCCCTGGCAGTGTTCAAGGCCAGGTTGGACACAGGGGCTTGGAGCAAGCTGCTCTAGTGGAAGGTATCCCTGCCCGTGGCAGGGGGTTGGAACTGGAGGAGCTTTAAGGTCCCTTCCAACCCATTCTATGGAAGGATACTGACAGCAAACACATTGATGCCATCCACTGCATATTTGTAGTAGTAGGGGTTGACCGCGCTGTAGCAGCACAGAATCACCTCCCCTTCCAGCGGGGCCTCCGTCTGCAGAGGCAGAAGTGGGTGACACTGATCTGATCCCCCCGTCCCAAACCCCACCTGGAGCAGGGATGCGGGACCCTCACCCCTGCCCCGAGGCACCCACCATGCGGAGGCGCCGGACAAGCACCCGCTCCGGGGGCAGCAGCAGGACGCAGGCAGCGGTGCGGGCACTCAGCTTGGCCACGGGGATGAGGAACACGAGGAGCCACGCGGCGACGCTCACCAGCCCATGGGCCACCACCAGCACCGGGTAACCCAGGCACAGCCACGCTGCGGTGCCTGCGCGCTGCTGCAGATGGGGGGGGAACGACACAGCTTTAGTTTGGGGGTTCCACCCCAAACATCTACCCCAGGGGAGCACCCGTGGGTGCTATCCACACCATGAGGGGGGTGCCCATGCTAAGGAAGGGGGTATCAGCACATCCAGTACAGGGCTCACCCAGTATCCAGTGTCCCCCCAGCACCATGGGTGCCAGCGGTGGGGCACGGGGCCACCGAGCAGGGGTGAGCTCTCCTCTGCGCCAGCTTCATACGCCCGGTGGGACTTGGGGGCCTGGGGGAAGATGGGGATGTCAGGATGCATAAAAGGATACCCCAACCACCCCCCCTCCCCCCCCCGCCATGGGATTCCAGTTGGGATGTGCCGTTACCTCCACTTTCTGGATCACTTTGCCAAAGGGCCAGAGGAAATACCCAGCCAGGTCCCAGCAGAGCTGCCCTGTGGGGACACGAGAATCAGCTCTGGTGGGGACACCATCAGCTCCAGGGCCACTTCATAGAGAAGGGACCCAGAAGGCCCACAGCTCACCCAGCCCTTCCCATGGGGGTCCCAATCTGGGGCTCACCATAAGGAGCCCCCACAACGGTGATGAACATCACAGCAGCCACGATGCCATAGAAGAGCCAGAGCCACCAGCCAAAGAGCAGCAGGTAGAGGATGTTCCCACACGTCACCATGGACCCTGTTGAAGGGGAGGCACAAGATAGGTCCATTCTCCTCTACACCAACCCAAACCCACGCTGCCACCACCACCACCCCATGGGCACCCACCTCCAGAGCCCCGGATAACGTTGAGGTCGGAGTAGAGCTCCTTGACTATCTCGGAGCGGTCCTCCCATGGCCGTGCTGTCACGTGGCTCTTCCACTTCTTGAAGCCAAACTGTAGAGGGACATTATAGGGGGTGAAAGGGGGAAAAGAAAACCCATTGGACCCAACACAGCCACCCAGGAGCACCCATAGGTGCCCCATCCCGTGCCGCAGGCACCCACCTTGTAGTTGTTGGAGAGCTTGTTGGCCTCCACAGCATTCTCAGCCGTGAGGGTGGTTTTGACCATGCAGCTCTCACAGACCTCCTCTGAGTGCTGGTGGCAGCAGGACAGGGGGGACACAGCTACGGCAACAATGGGTGACAACGGGTGACAATGGGTGACCCCCCCCCCCCATTCCTGACCCATTCCCATCCTACCTGTGGGGATGCGGGGCCGGTGCAGGTGGCAGCCCAGGTCGCTCACGTCTCCCTGCACGTTGTTGATGGTGGAGCAGTGCCGGTCGCAGAGCGAGCCCCGGCGGGGGCCGTCGCTGTCACCCCGGGGCTCGGTGGCCTTAGGGCCATCTGTGGGGGGGTGGAACAGGGTCACACAGGGGCCTGGGCTCAGCACCCTGGGTCACAGGGTGATGTTGTGAGGGGATATCCCCCTGGCCCCCAGAACACACAAGGGGGATACATGGAGCTCCCAGGGGATGGGTGGGAAGGGGAAACCCATTGGTGCCAAGGATGGGGAGGGGGGACCCCGGTTCCTGGAGCCATACTCAGGATGGGGGACCCCACTAGTGTCCAGACTAGGGAGAGTCCCCAGAGCAATGCTCAGGAGTTGGGGGACCCTACTGGTACCCAGGATGGGGTGGGGGGACCCCAGTGCGATGCTAAGGAGCTGGGGGAGACCCCACCAGTGCTGAGAACAGGAAGAGCCCCCAGGACCAGAGCAACGCTGGGGATGGAGGGACCCCGCCAGTGCCCGGGACGGGACGGGAAGGGAAGGAGGACCCTAGAGCGGAGCTCGGGGATTGGGAAAGGGACCCCAGCGGTGCCGAGAACGGGGATACCCCCCAGTGCCCGGAGCGATGCTGAGGAAAGGGGGACCCCGCCGGTGCCCAGGACGGGGCGGGAAGGACCCGGCCCCCCCCAAGCGCTCACCGGACGCGTCCAGCGCACAGCAGCAGCGGCGGCGGCGGCCGGGCTCGGTCTCGCTGGCCATGGCGGGGCAGCGGCGGTGCCGGGGTCGCAGGGGCCGGTTCCCCCCACCGGGGGCCAGCCGGGATTTAACGGGCGGTGCCGGGCATGCGCGGGGCGCGCCCCCGGGAGCCGCCCCGTTCACACCGGGAGGGGCCCCGGCCCGGCCCGACCGGAGCCTCGCCTGCCGGGAGCTGCGATGCGGAGACAGCGAGGTGAGTGCGAGGGAAGCGGGGTGCACGGGGGTGCGCAGGGACCGCGGGGTGCGGTGAATGGGGGTGCACAGGGACTGGGACACGCAAAGCGTCCGGGGGCACGGGGATGGGGATGTACGGGAACCGGGGTGCGTCGTGTATCGCGCTGCACGGGGCTGGAGCGTGTAGGACCCGGGGTGTGCGGTGTGTTTGGGTGCACGCGGACTGGGGTGAGCGCTGTTTTGGGGTGCACAGGAACCGGGGTGTATGGAGCTGTACTCTGCAGGAAACGGAGTGCGCAGGGACCAGGGTGCAGTGTATCTGCGTGAGCAGGGATTGGGGTGCTCAGCGAACTGGGGTGTGCAGGGAACGCGGTGCACAAGGATCCGGGGCTCACAGCGCAGCAGGACACACAGGATGCTGCTCCAGGAGCCTGGGGTGTGTGGTGTATTGAGATGCACAGGGCTGGGGTATGCATTAACTGGGTGCACAGGGATGGGGGTGTGCAGGGACCAGGGTCCATGATGTACCAGTGCGAACAGAGACTGGGATGAACAGGGAGCAGGTGCACAAGGACTGGGGCATACAGGAACCTGGGGTGCACCAGGGATCTAAGGCTCTACACTGGGAGCAAGGTGCAGGGGGCTCAGGGCGCACAGGGAGCAGGGTGTGCAGTGTATTAGGGTGCACAAGGCTGGGACATGCAGGAACCAGGGGGCACAGTGCATAGGGGTGCATGGTGTATTGGGGTACACAAGGATAGGGGTGCACAGTGATCAGTGCGTGGTGTGTACAGGGGTACACAACAATGCGGATTCAGGACTAGGGTGCATGGTGTATTGGGGTACACAAAGATGAGGATGCAGGACTAGGGAGCATGGTGTATTGGGGTGCACAGGGCTGAGGCATGCAGGAGCTGGAATGCATGGGGAGCAGGATGTGTGGTGTACGGGTGCACAAGGATGGGGGTGCATAGAGACCAGGGTCCATGGTGTATCAACATGACCAGGGACTGGGGTGCGCAGTGAATTCAGGTGCACAAGGACCAGATACATGGTGCATCAGGGTGCACAAGGACTGGGGCACTATGCAGGAACCAGTGCGCAGTATATTGAGGTGCATGGGGACGAGAGCATGTGGTGTATGGGGTATGCAAGCATGGGGATACGTGGGGGGCAGGCTCTGTGGTGTATTGGCATGCACACAGCTGGGCTATGCAGGAAACTGGGTGCACAGGGACCAGCGCCTGTGGTGTTACCAATGTGAACAGGGACTGAGGTACACAGGAATCTGGGGTGCACCAGGGGACAGAAGACTCCAGGATGCACAAGGACTGGGATTCATGGTGTACTGAGGTGCACAGGGCCTGAGGGTGCCCTGGGGGCTGAGATCTTCTAGAGAAACACCCAATTATGGGTCAAAGAAAGTAGTTTCTGCATGTAAGAAGCCTTTAGCCTGGAGACTGAGGGGTGAAAGGCGACCTCCTGCGGTGAGATTTGGGATAGGGCCCAACTAAACCTGGTTTATGAACGTCCCGCGTCAGTTACCTCCGATACTGAACCACAGCAAAACCGCACCCAAGTGCTGGATAAACCAAACTCATTCATACAGGAACCAAAGGAGCCAGTTTGGTACCAGCCCCACTCGCCCACAGCAGTCAGTTCACACACAACTTCCCCCCAAAAGGGGCTTTATCTCTGTCCCAAGCACAGCCCCAATTCCTCTTTTCCTTCCCATCTGTGGGAACAGGGCACAAAACCCCCTGCTCAGGGGGTGGTGGTGGCCCTGGTGAGAAACCAGTGTCCTCCCACCTGTGAGTGGGGTTTGGGGCAGTTTATGATGAGGGGAATGATCTTCAAGGATCTTCAGCTTTTATACCCCTTTAAAAGCAAACAGCTTCTAACACTGGTTTTACACCGTTAAAACACTCCAGGCTCAGAACTTGGAGCAGATCCTCCCTCCCTGCCCCTTCACAATAAGCAGTTTTTTGGCAGATATTGAGGGACTCCTCTTCCAAAGCAAATCCAAGTGGTCTCTCCCCAAAGGTATGCCCCCAAAAGCCAGGACTTGGAGGAGTCTGTGGGTTTATGCAGCCCAGTCTCCCTCCGAGGTGCTGAGGCCACGTGGCAGCCCCTAAGGATCCTGGAATAAGGGGTTTGGAGGAGAAACTGCTGATGGGAGGAGTAACAAGCAGCTAAAATCAAAGGCAGGGTAATGCTGGGGAGGTGGATGGTGTGTCAGCGCTCAGGAGACAGCCAGAGGTGAATGCCAAGAAAACAAAGCTCAAAATGAAGAGGAAAAGCCAAAGAAAAGGCACAAAATAAAAAAGCAACCCCAGATTTCAAATTAAAGTTGCAAATAATTTAAAAATTAAAACTAAAACTAACTTTACAAACTCTTTTTTACTGACACCAACAAATCAAAGACTTTTGTCTTTCCTTTTTCCATCTCCTGGGGGCAGAAAGCCTGCTTACAGCAAGAGCCAGGCTTAAAACCAGTAACATTTTTCTTCTCACATGCACTAAATGGAACCAAAATGAGTCTTAACTTTTAGATTCGGCTCTTCTTATCCCCATCTGGAATTTCCTGGATCCCAAAGTTGTTAAATCATTCCTGTTTCCAGGCGAGGGTTCACTCCTGGCTGCACACAGCCTCTTGTAAGGCTGTAGTTCAAAGGTGGTTGTGGTTTAGTCCAGTTGTGGTTCAGTCCCAGGCTCAGGTGATGACACCACGGGGTATGTGAAACAGGAACAGCAGACCAGGAGTTTGAACCATGATTCCTTCAGTGAAGAGCTGGAGAGGGAAACCCCACCTGGCACTGGGAAGTATGAGTGTTTCAACAGCAAAAATGTGTTAAATAATAAAAGAATATAAAAACTTAAAAAAATAAGGTAGGAATTACACATCTTCCCCTCTCTGCCCACAAAGCTGAGCTTAAATCAGCCCATCTTACTAAGTCTATGATTAAATCGACAAGGTAGTGATTCAGTTCACCAGAGGAGCATCATTCCTCGGATGCAGAGTCCCACCAGAAGGGTTACTCTCCAAAGATCCACAGGACGTTGACTCCCGATAATCCCAGGTTTACTCGCCTGCAAAACCAAGATTTACCCAATGTTATGGAAAAGCTGCTGGTGTTCCCAATGAGAAGGTGGTTTTAGCACCATTAATATCATCCCACTGGAGCAGTTTTGGTTCAAGGAGTGAGGGACGAAGGGCTCCACTTGTGCCCCATGCTCTGATGGATACTACCATGTACTTACCCCAGCATCCCGGATTCTTTTGTCTTTATGATATAAAGGAACATCAGCAAGGTGTGGAACATGTTGTTCCTGCCCTGAATCCATGGAAAGAGGGAAGAATTAAGGAATGGAGTCACTGATGAGCAATCACAGCTCTATTTCAGGCGGAATAAGCAACTGTAGATGTCATGAAATGGCTCCTTGTGCTTTTCCCCTCAATACTTCCCATTTTTCAATGAGGTGAACACTAGAAATAGACCAAATGTTGGGATTTGGGCTGGAAAATCATCTCCAAATACTTTAAATTCCAGAGCTTTTTCTGAACACAGATATCCAGCATTAAAAGTCGCAGGAGAATTTTGCTGGTTTCAGACTGGAAGATTCCTCTGCCCTGGAATCCTTACGAACAACACAGGGTTTGCTGGTCTTTGGGGTGACAACAGGCATCAGCAACTACACAACATGGTATTTTAACATAAACTATCAGTAAATGAGATACAAGGAAGCTACTACTGAGATAGTTATGTATCTTAAGTAGATACTAAAGGTATTATTTAGCACAGCCAAAGTAGTGCATTGTGGTCAAAGACCAAGCTCCTGTTTATGAGCACTTGCTCAGCCTATGTGTAAACAGTCCATAAATGTGGCTGGGACATGAAAATCCCACTCCAAATCTGATTCAGGGATGGTTTCCTGATGGAAGAGACCACTCACACCATCGTACCTTGGGCAGGTTGTGGGTCTGGCCCTGATAGATGAGCTCATAGTGAGGTGGATTGATGCTGCTTTGGTAGATGCAGAAGACGTTCTCATTTGAAGTGTCTGTGAGGAGGAAGTGCTGGCTTACACCCAACTCCCATTTTTCCTAAGGTTCCCCAGCTCCAGATCTTTTTGCAACTTAAAATTCCCTTTGTCTTGCTTTAGTTACACGTTTTAGACAGCTTTTCTGGGGTTGAAATTCATTTTAACACACACTCACTCCCCAGACCTCTCCCCTGCACACCACTCTCCTCTCTGGCACTCATCATACAGCTTCCCAGCTGCCCTCCCAGTTATTCCACCCAATGCCTCTCCTCCCAGACTCTCCCACCCACTCCCTCTTCCTTTCCCTGTTTCCCTTGCCAGTCTCCCCTCCTTCCCTTCCCTTCCCTTCTCCCTTTCTCTTTTCACTCTCTTTGAATGACCGTAACGCTGCCAGGAGTAGGCAGATGAGCTGCTCCTCCTTCTTGAATTAGCTAAAATAGCCAAATTAGCTTAGAATTGAATGAGTAGCACAAAAGAAGTATCTACATTTAGCTAAACTTTCCCCAGTATGTGGCTGCCCCATCCCTGGCAGTGTCCAAGGCCAGGCTGGACAGGGCTTGGAGCAACCTGCTCTAGTGGAAGGTGTCCCTGCCTGTGGCAGGGGACTGGAGCTGGAGTAGCTTTTAAGGTCCCTTCCACCCCAAACCATTCCATGATTCTATGATTTCAAGGGCACTGATGTGAGCCAAGAGGCAAGGGCTCAATGTGGATGCTGGTACCTGGTTTATCTGGTGTCTGAACGAAGTGCTGGGAAGTGAAGGTTTTGCCGTCGGGATACTTGGGGTGAGGCGGGAGCCTGGAGTCGAGGTAAGTGCAGAACACATGCATAATGATCTGGGCAAACAAAACCAAATCCCACTTGAGCTTCCTTAGTTTGGGATCTTACTTCCCATGCTTAGCTTATTAAGAATACCATAATTGTGAAATAAAGTCCTAAAATAAGTATTCAGAAAACCACACTTCAGCATCTTTGTGTTCTAAACCTTCATGGAGACTTCTCAATACTTTATGGGGGCAACATCACCAATTCTCTGTGATCTGATACTTCTGTGTTCAAAGGGATGGGATCCAGAGGGACCTGGACAGGTGGGACTGTGTGAACCTCATGGAGTTCAACAAGGCCAAGTGCAAGGTCCTGCACATGGGTTGGGGCAATCCCAAGAACAAACACAGGCTGGGGGAGACTGGATGGAGCAGCCTGAGGAGGAGGACTTGGGGCCGTGGGGTGAGGAGAAGCTCCCCATGACCTGGCTTCAGTGTGTGCTTGAGCCCAGAACCCCCCTGTGTGCTGGGCTGCACCCTCAGAGATGAGCTCTTAGGCAGAAGCTCTTCCCTGTGAGGGTGCTGAGGCGCTGGCACAGGGTGCCCAGAGAAGCTGTGGCTGCCCCATCCCTGGCAGTGTTCAAGGCCAGGTTGGACACAGGCTTGGAGCAAGCTGCACTAGTGGAAGGTGTCCCTGCCCGTGGCAGGGGGTTGGAACTGGATGGGCTTTAAGGTCCCTTCCAACACAAACCAGTCTGGTATTCTGTGACTATAACAGGATCTTTTTAACAGACAAAAGAGCTTTTCCAGGCTAAATGCCAAAAGTCAAGAAATGTGGGAGATGCACCCTGGAAATCACAGCTATTTTCTACAGTGTGATTAACACAAATGTGAAATTGTGTTTATTTTTTGCTAATAGTAACTGTTTTAAGTTAATGTCAGAACTTCCCAAATGTGTATTTACACCTCTGAGCTGTGTGCCCTGCTGCACTGCAAGACACTACAAGTTGCTCCATGGCCAGTCACTACCACGTACTTAATCACCTTCACAAACTGGACATCAAATCCTATGTCAAGACTGATTTTGTACAACTTCAGCTCCCAGTGACTGTGTCTCATTACACCTTTCTCAGGAGAGGCATGAACCTCTGACATTCTGATCTCCTGGGTTTTATTCTCCCAGGTAACTGAAAATCATTTATTATAATTATTTAGTTGAATAGAATTATTGGGTTTAAACATACAGCAAGAGCTGCCCTAACAAGATCCCTTGTCTCTGGCTGCTCCCTATAGTTATCTGACAGATGTTTCAGGTGAGCTGAAGTAAAAGCCTGGCCTAAGACTAAGATACACAATTACATTGTTATGGTCTATGCAATGTCCAATCCCATTTGCATTACTCCCCAGGGAATTTCACCACCCACAATGGGATTATCTATGGAAGTGATGCAAACAGGATTTCACTGTGTTCCTCAACAGTTCTTGGTTACTCCCTCCAAACCCGTGCTCAAAGGCAGCCCACTCTGAGCTGTCAGGTCAAGATGTCTTTGAATACTCACAGAGGAGTCCGTGGGCAGGTCCGTGTCCCACTTCCTGCCCCTGAAATCCCCTCCTCTGTTCCATCGGAATGAACTCATGCATCCTCCCTGGGAAAGTTCTGAAAGCAACAGGATTCAGTTAATGGAGGTTCAAAGTGTATGAGAGGTATTTTGTGCTAATTTCAGGGGCTTCATGTATGTTTCCAGTGTACAAAATCAGAAACATCCAACTAATTAAATGCTTGCAAAGACATGGCCCAGCAGTGTGTGCTTGAGCCCAGAACCCCATCGTGTGCTGGGCTGCACCCCCAGAGCATGAGCAGCAGCTCAGGGAAGGTATCCTGCCCCTCTGCTGTGCTCTGGGGAGGACCCCCCCCCGCAGCCCTGATCCAGCTCTGGGGCAGCAGCACAAGAGGGACGTGGAGCTGTTGGAGCAAGGCCAGAGGAGGCCATGGGGATGCTGCGAGGGCTGGAGCAGCTCTGCTCTGGAGCCAGGCTGAGAGAGCTGGGCTGGGTCAGCCTGGAGGCTGAGGGAGACATTATTACAGTCTTTCAGTACCTAAAGGGGGATGAGAAGAAAGCTGGAGAAGGACTTTTTACAAGGGCCTGTAAGAACAGGACAAGGGGAAATGGCTTTAAACTGAAAGAAGGCAGATTTTGATTTTAGGCACAAATTCTTCCCTGTGAGGGTGCTGAGGTGCTGGCACAGGGTGCCCAGAGAAGCTGTGGCTGCCCCAGCCCTGGCAGTGTTCAAGGCCAGGTTGGACACAGGGGCTTGGAGCAAGCTGCTCCAGTGGAATGGCAGGGGGTTGGAACTGGATGAGCTCTATGGAACTGGATGAGCTCTATGGTCCTTTCCAATCCAAAGCATTCTAGGATTCTATGATACTGATATACGATATGGGGAGGTAAATTTAAATGATGATTTTTATCTGTAGTGAATGAAGAGATCAAATCCAGCATTTTGCACCTTGAGCACGCAGGAGGAAACTGAGAAATAGGTCTTTTAAAACCATTCCCAAGGTTACATCCAAGTCCTGCATCATTATATCACTTTTAAAAGATAAAGTTGCGAAGAAGCATCTCTCCAGCTGAAGAGTAGCTCTCATCCCTGTGTGACTCTTCAAACATCTCCACTAAGGAAATGCCTGACACCACCATCACTTGACTGCAGTAACAGAAGTGGTTTGAAGTCAGTGTGGTGGCACCGCGTTACCTTTGATCCTTTCCACCAAGTACTCCTGGTTGGGTGTAAGATCCAGGTACTGCACAATAGTGTTCAGGGTTGGAATGAGAGGAGCTTTAACAAGTGCTGCCTGCTTCAGGCTGCTGATACTGGCTTCTGCAACACAAGAGAGAAAGAGCTGGTCAGCCAAAGCTGTTCCTCCAGTGTCATTCCAAAGAGGACCTGGTCCTTTCTGGTGCACCATTTAAAGTCCCCAAAGCATTTAAGAGGTGACACTACCCCAAATGCTCATTTCAGTTACAGTGAAGTACCAGATGTCTCTTTTAGATCACAGAACATAAAAGATACAAGGAACCAATATCCACTTTGAAGAGCAGAAGAAGAGTGGGGACAAGACCAGCACTGACCTGTTTTAATATGGGTGTTGCAACAGATACAGCTCTTGAGGAGACACCAGATGAAATAGCCCCGAAAAGGTGACCCCACCAGTACAGAGTGGAAATGGAACAATATTCAACAAAGGGACTGTAGGTAACACCCACCCATTGACACCACCATTATCCACCTCCAGGAACTCCAAAGCTACTGCCAGCTCTTACCTCCAATCTGCAGCTCTGGACACCCCATTCTTCTCAGCTGAGTGCTCACAGCGTCAATCTCTTGGACAAGTGGCACTAGAATAGTCTCATTAATCCACTAGGAACAGAAAAGGTCAAAATTCAGGATGTCAGAAGCAATAAAAATGTTTAAAAACTCTAACCCAGGTTTTACATCCTACTAATTGTCACCATTTGCCCCTCTATTCTGGCAAGACCCCACTTGCAGCACTGTGTACAGTTCTGATGTCCTCAACACAAGGAGGACATGGAGCTGTGGGAGCAAGTCCAGAGGAGGCCACAGGGATGATCAGGCGCTGGAGCACCTCCCGTATGCATCACCCCTTGTCCTGTCACTCCAGTCCCTGATGAAAAGTCCCTCTCCAGCATCCTTGTAGCCCCCTTCAGACACTAGGAGCTGCTCTGAGGTCTCCACACAGCTTCTCTTCTCCAGGCTGAACAGCCCCAATGTTCTCAGTCTCTCTCTTCATATGCCACTTATATGTCTGACGTATCTGTTCATATGTCATGTGCCTGTCCTCATATGTAATTTGTCATGGCCAAGATGCTTTTGTTTGTCATTCAAAGGTAGATGAAATTTACAACTGTGTAGTTTTTGGAATACAAACCACCAAGATCAGGTGGAAAAGGAACCTCTGCAATCCCTTCTTCCTGTGTTCTTACCTCTGTGTGCCACCCCAAGACTCAGACACTGCAATTCTTCCAGCACCCATGGTACACTGAGGTGCTTTTCCACTCTGCTGGAGTTCTCACAAACTCACCTTGTTCTCAAAAACTGGGCATTCCTCAAAGGTGGCACTTACGTTTCTGAACTTGGCGGTCCAGGAATCCATGTGATCAAGGAGCTGTCGGTTCATTGTCACCCGTGCCCAAACCTATGGAAAGATTTAGTAAGCACATATGAGAACTTAATCAAATACCAAGATTTTGGGGGTCTATGACAAGTTCTGACATTAACTACATCACAGCTTTAAGGTCCCTTCTAACCCAAACCATTCTGTGTGACTTCTGCAGCAGCTTCACATACAACACTTGTATTCATGGTACAATCATCTTGTGTGAGCCCAAATTCAGTTTTAAGCTCTCTGCTCTGCTAGGTTAAAACTGGTCTGAACTCTAGGCTTGATGTAAGAGGTATACAAGGGGTATACGGGTTTGAACTTAAACAGGGGAAGTTGAGGTTGGATATAAGGCAGAAGTTCTTCTCTGTGAGGGTGCTGAGGCGGTACCACGGGGTGCCTGGAGAAGCTGTGGCTGCCCCATCCCTGGCAGTGTTCAAGGCCAGGTTGGATGGAGCTTTAAGGTGCCTTCCAACCCAAACCATTCCATGATTCTACGATTACAACTCATAATATGAAATGTCCATTTTTAGCGACACAGAGTCTTTCAAGCTGTACAAAGATGGTTAAATGCTTGAAGAATCGTCTCTCCCTCATTTCTGATGCAGGTCAAGTCCAACCCTCTGTACAAAGCTGTGGA